GAGGGATCTGTGTGTGTGGGGCCTGCAGGGGTGGGCATACAGAAACTGCCAATCAGCAGGGAAGTGGGAGGGATCTGTGTGTGTGGGGCCTGCAGGGGTGGGCATACAGAAACTGCCAATCAGCAGGGAAGTGGGAGGGATCTGTGTGTGTGGGGCCTGCAGGGGTGGGCATACAGAAACTGCCAATCAGCAGGGAAGTGGGAGGGATCTGTCTGCATATTCTTGGTGCGCCTGACCTGTATTTCTAACCCTTCAATAAGTAAAAAAGTAATCTGCAAATGCTATAGGAGCTTTCAGTGTGTCACTGAAGCATTTCCTTAGCCCCCATGCTGTGTCACATGGCGCCGATATGCTGATTGCTCCAGGTGGCTGTGTTTCCTGAGGCCCCCTGCTGGTGATAGCTGATAAGTGAAGAGTGCCCTGGGGGAGTGGGGTGGGCGGGGGGGGTTGTGCTTTGTTAAGCTCTGCCCGGATGGTTTGGGATGGGTGCGGTAGCTGAACTGCTAAGCATCAATACAGAAGCCGCCAGAAACTATGGCACCCCCAGCTGGCATAGTGGGAACCCTGGCCAGGCAGGGAATGCTCATAAAAGGTGTGGTATTTTTGGGTGGAGGAGCTATTTCAGGGAATATGGACAGGTGTGAGGGCCTCCCTTACCCCGACAGCCTGCGGGTGGCGGACGCTTGGGGAACCACGTGCTGTGCCAGCCCTCGGCCTGTTCATGTTCCCCCGGCGTGGCGCGGGCACAGCCTAGCCCCTCCTCTGTCAGTGGCACCCTGCACGATGCTCACCCTCCCCTGACATTCACATTCTGACGGAGGTTAGTGGCTCCTCTCCTCCCTCCTCCAGCTGGAAGCACACAGTCTGTGCGGCTCACAACTCATGGCGGCTGGAGGATTTGACGTGGGCGTCACGGTAGATGGGCCTTAGTGCACACCCGCGGTCCACTGTGCAGCTGCTGTGATTCACTGTGTAGCCCAGGAGGTTACAGATTTGGGGATGTGCCCGGAAGGTCATGGGTGGGTGGCCCTGCCCCCTCACAGACACGTTATCATCAGTGCGTCCCAGACACTCTTCCCCAAAGGGAGAGTCCGCAGCACCTGCAAACATGAGTGATTTCGTGCCTAATGCGTCCGAGTGTCTCTCGAACCCCTACAGAGGCTGACCCTAGGGCAACGTGATGCACTGTCAGACGACACAATAATCCCATGACACTCACTGTCCCGCCCACACCGCAACCCTTGGGGCTGGAGCCAAGCTGAGTCAGATGACGTGCGTCGACGAGCGCTGTGCCCCGTGGCCTTGGTTCTGGGCCGCAGCCCGCTGTGGGAATGCGGGCTGGGAGCGGCCCACTCGCGACAGCTGATGCCGTGAGGTGCTGAGTGGCCATATGGGTCTGCTCACATCCGTCCATCAGCCACTTATCATTAGACGTGTGATTCAAACCGCTAACCCAGGAGGCAGTGGTGCTAACCATTGTACTACTGTGTGACCAACTTCAGTAAATATTCAGTTTAGCTTGTGAGTGACATCGCCACCTGCTGGCAGAGTGCAGTTTTCCCTCTTGGCTCCATCTAACAGCCCCTTCTAAGCTTGTGGAGCAGAGATGGGGCGCTTGATTATTTGTCTGTCTTTCGTTTCGCTGCTCAGAGAGGGAATCTGTTTGTATTGAGTGTTCCCAGGCCTGCCGCATGTTGCAGGGCCAGGCTTGCTCTGTGTTTGCTGAGTCACCGCACTGCCAGCCCCTGCTCCTCCTTCCCTGTAGATACACTCACTCTCTGAGTTGCTGCTGCCATTCAGGGTCAGTATGAAGAAAAGATCTCCAGCCGGTGCCGAGTGACAGAGGGAAGCTTACAGGCTGGAGCAGGGCTTCTTGGGTAATTAGCGGGCCTGGTGAGTGTGACCCATGGCTTATTCGCGGCAAACTCTCTGCAGCAGTCTCGCTGATTCATGGAGAGCAATGCATTGTGGGAAGACCTTTCGGTTGTTAGCAGAGAGGTGAGGCCTGTGGCCCGGGTTCATGAATCTCACAAATTCATCCTTTGTGAGATTGAACTTCTGCAGTTGTTGCTGTGACCTGATGGGGGCAGATGGGGGCCCGCTGTGATGCCAGCAGTGTGCACTCTTACTGTCTTACAGCTAACTCAACGGGCCCAGTGGCTTTCCGGGTCACTGCTCCGTTCTGACCTCACTTGGCCCAATGAGGTTGTTTCTCAAGGCCAGGCGGTGGGTCAGCCTAGATATGTTGCCCTCGAAGGGGGGTGGCTTCCTCACCCCAGGATTGAGGTAAAGGTTATTTTACCAGTGACATCAGTTGGGTCACGTCTCGGCGTCAGCGTTTGGTGATCAGCTCCCCAATATACACACGTGGAGAAGGTGGGAAAGGTGCTCGATTTCAAATCTTTTGGTATTATCGCCGCCACCTTCCATCTGGTGCTGGTTTGTAATGCTGAAGCCTCTTTGTGTCTGACGCTGTATTCATGGCTAAAACGCAGCGGTCCTGTTTGTGCTGCTTGATTATCCCCTTCAGCCTCAGTTTTCACACTGCCTGTCTCGGCTGGGAATTTCAAGAGCTGCTCTTTGCAATCACCTCTGTCCCCCTGTTTTCAGTGCTTCAGTCCCCGTGCTGATGTGGAAAGATGCGATTAAGAAAAGCTAAATAAAGCCTCCAGGATGGGTGTGAGAGGGGGGGCATATGGCCAACGATGCCTTGTGAGGGTGGCCGCTTCACATGACTAGTCTGTGTGTTTTGCATTCGATAGTAACTATTGGGTAGGTTTTTTGCTGGGGGGTGGGGCAGCAAGCTGCCCATCTGTTGGGCAGGCTAGGAGGGGGAAGCTTGTGGGGAGAGGAGGACAAGATGGCGCATGGCTGAGGAGACAGGCACGGCGATCTGCCAGACAGAAGCTGTGGGGGGTGTGGTGGCAGGCGTGGAGCTGACAGCCACCGCGAGTGTGTGTGAGGAAGGTCTCTGCATATGTGGCTCTTTGTACGATTGTGTGTGTGTGAGAGAGAGGTATAAAAAGCGCTTGTAACGGATGACTGTGTCTGGGCTGGCCAGCATGTGTGTTTTCAGAGTCAAATGTGTTTGTGATGTGACAGCAGGCATGCATGTATACAGTGAAGGACTTCAGTGATCCTTATGGTGAGATCTCTGTGTATGGCTATGTAAGGTAACAAAAACATCCTCGAAATGCAGATTTCCAAATACTGCCCATCAAATCAGAGTTTGTTCATGGAGTCTTATGGTCAAACAGCATAATTAATGTACAGGAGCATTTTTAATGTAGCTAACACACTGTATTTGCAAAGAAATGTTCATAGAGTAATACACTAAACCCTTGTTTTTGTGAGATTATCAGTTCTTTTTTCTGCCTATAGATGGCAGTGTTGCCTAGTTCCTTAAATTTTTCTGTATTCTCTTTTTTTTTGTTTAATAACCCACGCTGAAGGGTTCCAAAAATTGCACCCATGCCTGAGCAAGACGCTCAGGTGGTGCGGTATGTGTTGCTGTGGTGTTAGCAGGGATGCCCTCGCTAAACGCTCATTGGACAGCCCGTATCACCCCAAGACAAGGAAAGTTATCTGGGTCTGGGCAGAAGAGCTATGCATAAAAAGCACTTCACATCCGCTTCAGGGTTGGTGCCCAAAAAAGACGTTAGTTTTGTTTTACGGTTTCTTCTCATCTCGGGATCATATTTTCATTTAAAAAACAGCTGCTGGAAGTTAATGCTGCCCTTGTAAATTATGATTAAAAGGGTGAGATGCCATATTACCCATAATCCTTTGCAACATCTTTATGTGATGTTGGATTGATATAACTGGAATGATTTAAAAAAAAAATCTTTTAAATAAAATATTGAAATACAATGATTATGGTCACATTTTGACATTTTTCTTTGTTTTTTTGTTTGTTAAGGTGGCTTTGCTAGGAATGGACATTCTGTCTGCTTTAGTGACCCGGTTACAAGACCGCTTCAGAGCCCAGATCGGCACAGGTAAATGGTCTCTGTCCTAGCTTCATGGCATGGTTTAATCTGTGACACCTCTTTAAGGATAAGCTTGTGGACTATTCTCCCCCCACATCTCTTTGTTCTCCCAGTACTGCCGAGTTTGATAGACCGATTGGGAGATGCAAAAGACCAGGTGAGAGACCAGGATCAGGCTCTTCTGCTGAAGATTATGGAACAGGCTGCCAACCCTCAGGTACCATCACACACAGACGCACACACACTTAGACACGCACACAAACACACGCATATACCACATATAACCAAACACACACATGGCAAATACACGCACACTCACATGCATACACACACACACACATGTCACACACCTACCCTCACATGCCATTTACACACACACGCCCGCATATACCACATATACACCAAACACACACATGCCAGATACATGCACACTCACATGCCATACATACACACCACATACATACACACACACACACACCCAGACATACACACACTCTCACATACTATACACACACATATTTACTCATATAAACACACACACACTCACCATGCATTCACACACTCATATACACACATATACGTGCACACATGATATATACGCACGCACACACACCACATATGTACACACACGCACACACGTAGCTATCTAAATGGGGACCTTCCATTCATTTTTATGAGAAAAACCCTAATCCTAATCACAACACCCTTAACCCCTACTCATCCCTAACCTTAGCCATAAGTAACTAAACAAAATACAAGACTAAAATACGGCATTTTTACTTTTTTGATTACATAGATTTTTATAAAATTGAGGTTATCCAAATGGTACCTTGAAAATTGTCAGCGAAAGTAAGGCAGTTTCAGGTTTTACCACACTTTGGGGACATTTTGGCCCCCAGATCTGATCTGTGTAAACCCACACACACACACACACTCACCCTCAGTCTCCATGGCCGTAGCCTAACCACAGTGCATTAAAGTAATCATGTAGTGTCTGTCATGGCAGAATGGCCGAGTGCGTTTGCCTTCTTTAAGGGATTCGGTGTGTGTAACAGCAGAGTGTGTGTAACAGCAGAGTGTGTGTAAGCCCGTGAGCAGCTCTGCCTGTTGGGTTTCCCTGCAGTACGTGTGGGACAGGATGCTGGGTGGTTTCAAGCACAAGAACAACCGGAGCAGGGAGGGGGTCTGCCTCTGTCTGGTCGCCACCCTCAGTGTGTGAGTGCCGTCGTCGCGAGGTCACACAGTGCTGCAGTGGCCGCCCCCTCTGAAGGAGGCTGTCTCTGATCTGCACCACCTGCTCTCTTTCTGTTGAATAAATGGAGACCCAGTGCACTAATTTCGTCTTTTGACTTTCAGATATGGAGCTCAAGGTTTAACCCTCAGCAAGATTGTACCACATATATGTAACCTGTTAGGAGATCCCACAAGCCAGGTACTCTCTGCTGCCCACGCATATTCATCAGTGTGACTCATCTGTGACCCATATAAAAGGCGTTGAAGCCTTACAGGAGTTATCTTACACGAGTTTCTTGAGCCCCCTAGTGGCTAGTAATGGTACACCATGTCCATGCTGAGATCGTGGGACTGAATCATTTTCTAGCAGTTTGTTCATCAAAACACAAATTGTGTATTTGGGTGGGCAAAGACAATTTATGTTTATTTACAACATTTATTTTTGTTTGACTGAATAATTTGATTAAGTAATTTAATATATTTATATTTTATTTATCCAGAATAATATATTCATTATAATAGGACTGCTTCTAAATATTTTGTTTATGCTGTTGGAAACTGAATGAAGATTAGGGGGCAGTATGTATGTAAGGCTCTGCATGACACTCACTGGCATGCAACTTTAAACTGCAGTAAATGTCCTCCTGTCCTTCATTCATTCATGCTGCTGTACTGTCTCTTCCTGACATGCGCTTAAGGCACCCTGCTGGTCACAGTGTCTTTTAGCCTGTCCTGTCCTGTGATTGGGCAGATCCGTCACATACCCCACCCCCCAAGTCACAGGACTTGGAGCGCTGCTTGTTTTTAGGCACATTCCCCTCATAGACACACCCACAGAGAGCTTTCCTGCTGTTTCCAGGCCTCTGTCATCACAGGAACAGAACTTCCTGTCCATGATAGGAAGCCCCCCCCCCATCAGCTCACAGCTGTAGAATCTCACATGACCCTCACAGATGAGACTCTCACAGTGCATTTCTATGGTGCCAGTCAGTTCGATCCCATCTCAGAGCTGACTTTTCCTTTGCAGGTCCGAGACGGGGCCATGAACTGTCTTGTGGAGATCTACAGGCACGTCGGTGAGAGAGTACGGATAGACCTCAGTAAAAAGGGCCTGCCCCAGTCACGGTATGCATAACCCCGCCCCCTACGCTATGACGGAACCTCACGAAAGCTGCCACTTTCCAGTGTAGCAAAGACAGCCGTTAACTTTTCTTCTGAAGGTGTAGCTGATGCCTTAATGGTTGAAATGTTCTCAAGGATAAAAGCTGACTTTTTAAATAACCTTCATTCACTGGACTTCAGTAACATATCATTGGTGCTTTTCAGGTCTTGTTTTTAAAGTTATGTTATGAAAATGTCTAGGAGGCCTGAGTATGTGATTAATCTGCCTCACACCCGTAATCCGCCTTATTCATATGGTGACGTTATATAGCAATTTAATGTCATAGGAGTCCCATTATAATGGATTATGTTATTGTGCTCTAGAGCAGTCAGGCTGCAGGATAACAGAACGTTACGAGAAGTGATCTCTTTACTTGCGTGAGTTTAGTTTCTAGAGCTGTAAGTGGCACTTAAGGGCTGCTTGGTGGGACAGTATTATAATGCACCAACTGTAACCGTCCTGTCACCCGAGAACGATAAAATTTTACTGTAGCGCACGCTGTCAGTTTTATGTCAACTTTTGTAACCTTCATGCAAAGCCTGATCCATGGAGACACGCGGCAGCTGTGAATTGTGCATGAAAGACTTTGTTGCTTCTTACTGTCAAGTTTACTTTTTATTTATTCGAAGCAAACACTAAAATGCTCTAGTGGAGATGTAGTAGTAAAGACTCTAATAGCGGTTTGATAATCCAGCAATAAAGTATTAATGCAAATTCTTATTAGTAAAAGGCATTATTGTAAAGGTTTATGGCAGTGCAGGTGGACACAGTTTCTCTGTGCTGTAAGCAGAGGTGGAGATTTCAGGTCCAGAGAGTACAAATCCACACCAAGATTTTGTTTCAACCAATCAGTTGAGTATAAAGAGTCATAGTCACAGGATACTCAACTGGTTGGTTGAAACAAAATCTTAGTCTGGATTTGTACTCTCTGGACCTGAAATTTCCACCTCTGGCTGTGAGTGGGGCAGTCCTGTCGCCTGCCTTGGCTCTGACCTGCTTGATTTGTCTCTCTAGGTTGAATGTAATCTTCAGTAAATTTGATGAAGTCCAAAGATCTGGGAACATGATCCTGTCATCTGCCTCAGGTGAGTTACTCGACATGCGCGTCTGGGACTGTCTCGTCCGATGTGTGCACGTGAGTGACTTTGGGTAGGCTGGAAGCTTGGAGGGAATCCGCCATCGTGGCTCATGTCTCTGGGAATAAAGGGAGCAGGATAAAAAGATCAATCTGGCATGAACCATAATGCCTGCGGCCCATTCAGGACATCAGGTGTTGTGAGAAGCAGGGGGCTTTCTGGCAAAGCCAGAGCTGTTTGTGCTTGTTTATGAGTGCAGGTCTGGCTGTCTGCCAGAGGGGGGAGCATTAACACAACGCCTTACCGGTTCATTTCCAAAGAACTCTTCTTTTGCATGATGAGGGAAGGGGATAGTGGGCGGATGAGGGCCGGTTTGGGACCCATTCCACACAGGAAGTGGGCAGCCTAGGGCCAGGGGTGCCTCTGACCCCCCACCTCGTGTGTGCAGATGTGGCCCCCGGAGAGAGAACTGCCACAAGGTCGATTAAGGGGGAGTGACTACTTTGAGCAGGGATCTCTCAGACAAGACTGATGAGGCGTCTGCAGTGGCTGGCTTACATTCAAGGGCGTGGGTGATGATGGTGATGATGATGATGATGATGATTATGATGATGATGATTGTTATTAGCATCTATATAGGCATAGGTAGTTCTGAAATTCACTTGCTTGCTAAGTACTTGTTCTTTCATTTGAAGAAGAATTTAATTATCTCCAAAAGGATCAGGGTGTTGTGTTACATCGAAGGCTTAGGGTGTTATGTTACATTAAAGGGTTGGGGTGTTGTGTTACATGGCAAAGTGGGGGAGTTTCCCTGGCTCTTCATCATGTTGCGTTCAGCCCAGCATTTACTGATCCTGTTGCATTCTTTCCACATATATGGTATGATCTCTTACACAGGAGTGTCATTCCTGCAACCGAACGTATATTAGTTGTCTGTTGTGTTGTCCTCATTTCCACAGAATGCCTCTGTTAACCTCATTCACTCGACCCGTGTACCCATCCTGGGGGTGTCTGTACAAGGTCACGTTCTTGCTCAGCTGAAAGCATCCCTGGTCTCGATGTTGCTGGGGCCCAGCGCAGTGTATTGTAGGTCATGGGGGGGGGGGGGGGGGGTTGAGGTAGTTCTACTTTCAGAGGAAGCGGCATGTTCTGGATGGATTCCGACCCAGGAAGGATGCAGATACTAATCTGTCCGTTTGGCGAGGCCCGCTTGACAATCGCGAGGTAACATTTATACTATGGTAATAATAGGAGACTCGGGTGGGATCAGCGTGAAATCTGCATGTGCTGCATGTGTTCAGTTACAGCAGCATGTGGGTGTGGCTTTATGTGTGTCACATGTCTGCAGGTATGATGACCTCATCTGTCAGGGCCGAGTAGCAGACTCGTCTGAGGACAGTGATAGCGGGACAGGGGGAGACCCGTGCTGGAAACCTGGCGCGTCTGCCTCTCACTCTCTCACACACACACACACACACACACACAGTTCATATATTCCTATCATTGTGGGGACTCTATTAATTTCTAGGAAATAACCTTAACCTTAAGTATGATGACCCTAACCCTTATCCAGCCCTAACCTTAACCATAAGTAACCAAACAAAATACAAGACTTTTGGCATTTTATAGTTTTTTGATTGCATTAACAATTTTTTTTTTTTAATTGAGGTTTATATTGTGAGGAATTTGAAAAATGTCCCCACAAGCTAAAACGGGACAGCATTTTGTCCCCACGATGTGGTAAATACAAACCTGCAGACAAACAGAAATGCACAGACACAAAGACACAGACTCACACACACACACACACACACACACTCTCGCCTGCAGGCTCAGGGTGTGCTCACAGCAGAATGTCTCTATTCACACATCTAAAGCTGCACCGAACGTCTTAAGAAGCTTGATCATCTCTCTGTACTGACGATCCACTTTCCTCAGCTCTAGCTTTGCATTCTGCAGATTAGTGGGGGCATTAAACTGGTTTCTGTGCAGTTTCTGGCTGGGTCTGGTCTCTCTGGAGTGGGGGGCGGCCACCTCCGAGCACAGCTGTTTCCTGGACAGGGGCCGGGCTCAGAGGACGCAGGAAGGCTCTTATTTTGAAAGAGGTGGCACTCACTGTCACGAGTTTTAGTGGGGGAGGCGGTTGCGGAGAGGTGCGGTGACGGCCGGAGCAGCTCCACACTCGTCCGTTCCTCTTGCCGTGAGGACCACGCTTCTGCGCCATGGTCGCCGGAGGAGGTGAGGCAGTGGTGCCGCTTTAATCGCGAACTGATGGGAAAGGAGGGGGTCTCTCCGGGGTGGGGGCATCTGAGGCATGGGGGGGTGCTGAAATGCTGCTCTGCTCGATGAACTGACAGGCAGCCATACCGTCTACTGGTGCTGTGTGTATGTGGGCGGGGGGTGGGGGTTCATATTTAAAGTCACTCTGGGATCAGACGTGTTTCCACCAGGATCAACGATCCAGCCTCGGTGTTTATGCTGCAGGTCTGTTAAACATTTACGGGCAAGTGATGCTGTACACGCGTCTGTCTGAGTTTGCTGGAAATGCTCTCGTTCTGCGTGTCTATCCCAGCCCAACGAGCCATTTCGGGTCCTGCTGAATGTGCTCAGCAACGGCAATGGAGTGTTTGTACAGCACAGTATCTCTTCATTACCCTGGAAAAACAAACTGGGATGCCGAGGTCCGGGAGCCGCCACACTAAAGAGGCTTTTGTGCCGCCGGGGGCAGTCGTCACAGTGACCCCCTTGTCCCCAATCCCCAGTGCTGGGTCCTCCGCTCAAAGTGCTCATTGTCACTGAACGATCGCTGCTCTGTCTGGGTTTTGTGCCGCGACACAGTGATTATGTGGGTGACGCACAGCGTAGCGTGCGCCGGGCGGTGCTTATGTGCGTAGCGTGTGTATGCTGTCACACGCCTGCTCAGGGGTGTAAATTATGCGGTGGAAGTGGGACAGCAGGGGATCGCAGAGCGCAGCGGGTTGCAGCCTGGTTTAAATGGGACTGCAAGACAGATGTAACGTTAAAGAGCCATTTCTATAATGACTATTTATCGATGTGTGATTGTCAGTAAGGGAGAGTTACTCTTTTTCTGTTTAGCAAAACGCTGTCCTTTACCCTCAGGCCAGGCTTGCATTCGACAGCTGGCATGTGCTGACTCTGCCTGTGTCCCGCTAATGTGGTGATCTTAGCCTTTCTGGCCGCATTGAGCCATAGGTTGAGGGCATTAGTACACTGTATCCATAACCTTGCTCAAATGGACCAATCACGTATGGTATGCGTGGTTCTTCATCCAATCCAGTATCACTCATTTTTAGCATTTGAATGACAAAGGCAGTATGACTAGTTGACGTGAGGAATAGCCTGCTTCCTGGGGCTGCCTGTCGCCTTTATTTCCCTGTTATTCTTTTATCTGTTGAGTTCTGCCCCGAGGTAAAGTCGGTGTCTAGCTTTTTCTTGACAAATACCGCATTGTCAGAAAAGGAAGTTATAGTTTTGTTCCTGGAGATCTCTGTTTTATTTTTAAACAGAGATCCTGTTGCTCCTTTCAGAGCCCGTCGCGAAAGGCCAATGCTGAAAAAGCTGACTGCTTATGATTTCCTAGAGTCAGCTGCAGGATGCGAGGGAAACATGTGGTCAGAGTTTTCAGGCTAATTTCTTGGGGGTGTTTTAATCAGTATTTAGCATGAGCATACTGATAGGTTAGAGTTCAGATAAGGCCTTCTGGGAAGTAGGATACTCAACAGCTGCTGGGCTTAAATACAGGGGGATTAAAGATTATTCTGCCAGAAGATGTGTATCAAAGGCCTATATTACTGAATCATGGAAGAGCTGCAGCTCCTTCTCTGTCGTATGTAGTCCCATAACCTACGGAATGCTCCAGGGCACTGGCAGATCATTAGGTAGCCATTAGGTTTCCGTTACTGAGTCATCAACTGCTAGCTAGCCGCTAACCAGCTGTTAGCGAACTGTTAGCCAGCCAGTAGCTTTTCATCGGTGAGCTGTCAGCTAGCTGTTAGCTAAAAAAGTGAGGAGTTGTATTTACCATGCTGAGAATAGCTGCCTAACAGAAAGCGTTGCAAAACTGTAATAGCTAGTTAAAAAAAAAAAAACATAGAAGGAATGTTTATCCTAATGTGCTCAGTGAAATGGGGTGTGAGGTAGTATTGTATGGGCGGACAAGCTCCCTCAGCCTTCATCTGGCTGGCTTCCGTTTTTCCTGATCCATCAGGCCCTGACCCTAAGCTGCAGCCTTTCCTGTGGCCCATCGTGTCTTTCCTTTGTGCTGACGTGGAAATGAGCACATTGTTTTTGTTATTCCTCTTAGCTTTACTGAGCCCTTCCTCCTGCCTTCATGTGGCGCTGTGCACGCACTGCACGCACTGCACACACTGCACTGTACGCAAGCTGGCTCTACTGTACCTCCTGGTATGACTGAACCACAGCCCGGTTGACTTAAGCATGCACATTCGCATTTAGGTTCTTTGCTGCCCAGCTTGTCCACTTCAGATTGGCGGTTCTGGTCACATGGTCACACCTCTGTATGTTTCACGGTGTCCTCCCAACCAGGCAGTAAGGTGATGGTGACTTCCTCTACCCTGAGGTGTCTCTTTACAGCCAAGCTACCGTTTGAGTCTCCATGTGATGAACATGGAGTTCCCTTGGAAGGCTTGTCAGCAGGGGCCCTTATCAGCAGTCTTTGTTACTCACAGATATTGTACAGTACACACCTTTCCTGAATAAAAACCGTTCTTCAGGCTGAAGCGTCCTGTGCCCTAATTTCCAGAATAACGGTTCTCCGGTGCACCTCAGTCTAATTAGGGAAACGAGTGCGGCGGGGGACGTGGGCGGCTCGAGGTCCTGTGACCTCGACCAAGTCAAATGGGTGCCTAGCATGCATCCTGCAGTTTGTGGGTGGGGGGAGAGTGGATTTTAGCCCATGTTTGTGTATGTGTTCTCTGTGCTGTTAAACAGGGGCATGGTGGGAAGGAGACCGCCGTGCGCCTACATGGCTATAAGCCTTCGGGAGGCACTGTTCATGTGCTCTACCCGAATTGCCAGCTGGTCTGGATGAGGCGATCACCTAGCGGTTAGATCAGACCGGATCTTGCAGCCCCCTGCTGGATGTGACAGCCCACTGCAGTCCTCTGTTGCCAGCAGGATTCCACTGTAGATATTCAGAGTAAATTGCCCCCATCGCCGCCACTTTAACCAACAAAGCTCCAGTCCTCTCTTGTGGACTTTTATAAATCTTTGTTCTTCTACTTCAGAGATGCCTGTGGAAGGCCGCTGTTTGGTTGCTTTGAGGTCATTTTGAGATCTCTTGGCTCAGGGGGCTTTCTGAGGGTACAGTTTCACTGGGTATTGTTGCCATGGTGATGTAAGCTGGGTGACATCATCACAGTGGCACGGTAAGACTGAATGACGGAACCTCTTTATCGGCTCATGGCAACCGTCGCTGGGGCAGCAAAAGCTCAGGGCTATTATAGATGAGGTTCCTTTATGAGGATTCACACTGGGTATAGTGCATTCCCCAAATATTCATGCCCCAAATAAGCGTAGGTCATTTCCCAGCCCAAGTGATTATTGTTAAGAAATGTAAAGGAATCAATTGAGAGGCCTGGTTTGCTTGCATGTGGTCCATCTGAGGATGGACAGAGCGGGTCTGTGCACAGGGTCTCTCACAGCTGTTGTGCCTCCCAGTAGGGGCAGTTTATATCTCCTTTGTTCACTCTGCCTACCCTGGGAGTGACGGGTTCTAGCCGGACCAAACAGGTTTTCTTACGAATGGCCATGTTTGCAGGTGTCTGTCTAATAGCACGAACACTCTGAACATGCGAATATCCAGAGGGTATTGTAATGGCCTGTGGATGTCACATGGGCCGTATTCCCATTAAAAGTTGTTTTCTAGTCTCTGAGGGGGGTCCCCCCCTGCATTGTTATTGCCGCTTCTGTTGAGCCGTAGAGCTTGAAAAGCTCCGTGTTTGCAGAATGTGCCGTGCTGTGTGGAATTGCTGAAAGAGGGAGCTGGGAATTAGATATGGTCTAGCTGCTAGCCATTTGAATATGACTCCTCACTGGATCTAAAAATACTTGGCTGGAAAAACATCAGCATTCCGAGCATGCTTCCGCACGCATTGCAGTTTTAAAAAGCTGAAGTGCAGGCTTTAAACCTTCCGGACACCAAGCTCTCGCTCAGGCTCTATGCTGGAACGATGGAGATGATGTCCAGCCGCACCTGTCATCTGCACCACTCTGGTGGCCATCTAGTGGACAGAAGTGGCATTGCAGAGAAATGTGGGCAACCGCGATCCTTTCTGCTGAAGGCTCTTTTTCCCCAGAGTTAATTGAAACAATTAAAGGTGTATTTGTCCCATCAAAATAAGGATGAAAGCCTCTGCGCTGCGTAGTGGACAGCGGCTCCAGTGCCTGGCATCCATAGGCACAGACTGGCAGTAGAATACTATAAACGTGAATAAGAGGTCATCCACTGCTTAATGTCCTTGCTGGGGGCTGATTGTGCAGCCAGATTACAGCTGTAATATTTCAAAAATGTATTCATTTCTAAGTTGATGAAATTTTGGCCTGCCAAATGAAGAGTTGTATGAATCTCCTGAGTTCATTGAGGAATCAAGAAATCCCACCTGTGTATTGGCTGGAAGTAATTCTGTCTGTCATACATTGTATATTTGTATGTTTCTAGCCCCCCAGCCTTTTTTGGTTAATGGCTTTACAGGTTCCTACAGAGCAGTTGGGAGTAGGCAGACACCCCTAATGTGTAATGTGTTATGGAGTTGCTGTGTTTCATATGAACCACCAGATGGCGCAGGTTGAAGGGTAATTGATGAGTTTAATCTCTCTGATACCAGGTCCAGTACTTTATTGGGTGTTAGATACAGCTGCATACAGCACTCTTGAAATATTAAATGTATAGCTCCTACCCTTTGGACACTGTACTTTTTGTCCATTTAATGTGGATAGCCCTAATATCAGGGATGGACATAACTGGTACGCAAGTACACATTCACCTTTAAAAACGATAAGTGCGATGATCGATTGTTTGTAAAAACTCAAATGCGTACTTCTTTTATGTGCATTTGTGCTGCTATGACTAGAAAATACTTTGCATTTTAACCTGTATACCGCAAATGAAGTAGAGTTAGCATATAAAGATTAAAATGCATTATATTTTGTTTTCATATCACATAAAATAAGTACCCATTTACACTGTTACCACAACCGATTGTCACACGTATTGTATTTAAAGGTGAATGCATACTTGCGTTCCAGTTATGTCCATCCCTGCCTATTATCCTGGCATTCACTTCTACTGAATCTGTTTGGACCACAGCTGCTATACAGAAGTGGCCGTTAGAGAATGATCATTCCCTCAGTGATGCTTTTTAGATGTCTCCTTTGCTGGCCCAGACTGTAATTTCCCGTTTATTGTCATACATGCGCACGCTGGTGCTCTGAGTGGTGATGTTGATGATGTCATGACAAAAGGCAGGGCTGTTTGTGTGAGGTGACCTCAGGTAAGGACCTGTGGGACCTGCCACCATGTTAAGCATGTGCCCCACCCACTGGGATACATTCTGCCCCGCCCACCTGGATACATTCTGCCCCGCCCACCTGGATACATTCTGCCCCGCCCACC